TGAATACCCCACTAAGTATACTGACTCCGAGCCAACCAGTCCTTGTTTTAGCCCTTAATGTCGTGCGCCGGACAGGGTAACAATAAGTACCATCTTTTAACGTCTTTTGGTATGACGCGGCGGGGGTTCGAGCCCAGGACCTTCCGCTCTCCGGGTGGACGCTCTACCACAAGACCAAGGAGGCGGCTGTTATACTTAGGAGGTAGACTGCGCGTTCAGTTACAAATTCAATTTTGCGAAGTTAAATCTAAGGTAAACTAGCCCTTCAATGTAAAAACAGTATGTTTTTCTCCATTCTACCATGAGTGAATAGAACGCGTACTTTTTAGTGTAGCAAATGTATCCAGTCCAGTGTTTTGAATGGGTTGTCAATCTAAATTACGGAATCAGCTACAACAGCCTGTAAACAAAATACATATATCCTGAAGCAGTTTGTTAACACCTTTAACATATTTCACTCGAACATATGACAGGCATTGAAAGCATATAAGGACGGCAACTTGGGAGGCTAATATGAGGCGGGCATGCCTAAAGAAAACTAAGCAAGCTTTGCAAGGCTTTTGCTCTACACCGCATGCCACCATTATGAAGTCATTTCGTTCATTGTGACGCAAAACATATGACGTCACAGTCGTACATAGAAAAGCGCCAAATTCTAAGTTCTCTGTTGTCTCCAAAACTTAAATAATTCTCTTTGTAGATTTCTATCGTCTTTTCTGCACTAAATGTACACTTGGTATATTGTAGCAGCCGCAACTTTGCATTTTGTAACCTGTAATGGTAGATGTAGATTGACAATGACTGAAAAAAGTACTTTTTCATGAACATTACATGTAGCCTCCGCGGTGATGCGGCCGTCAAACCAGCTGTTTCAATCAGAGGGGGTTTCGTGTGATTTAATAGCCTCTGATTGACCCATCAGATTTGAGTAATTTACCAATCCATGGTAGAATTACTAGTATATAATGATTATCATTATTAAATGGGAATGATATTTGTACACCATACTAAGATATTCTGATATACTTACGTAGTGAAACCGAAAACTCTTTCTTTCAAATAACCAGCAGCCAATCATCAGACGTGAAATTAAATCTTTCCACTATACATCTTTAAAAATACTGGTCCCCATTTGACCTCCTGAGCATTGCACTGTTTATGAATTGATGTCGTTAGAACCTATCCCAATTTCACTTCTAACCTCTCTTATCACATACATTACGTCGCACAATCTGCCATTGTCGTAGACATGGTGTTCAAATGCGTCCACTGTGCACTAATATAGAAGAAACATTGTAGACAATACATTGTCAGTCGTCAGTAATGTCAATGTGCGTTTGTTAGAGCTGATCAAAGGGAGGTAACTCTATCGACTCTGTTTCCAGTTTTTCGAACATGGATAAGGAAATGAGACAAATCCATGTACACTTAGAGTAAAGTAGTAAGACTGGGACGCAAGTTTGTATACAGGCACATATACACATTGCACAATATGGAGGCAGTATAGCACCTTGAACACAGGATGAAGATGATAACAATGTCCAAATATGTATGTTGATCAGTCCAATCAGCATATTTTCTTCATCTCTTTTGATACACAAGGAACATATGTGCGACAATCATGTGGCTTAGAAAACAGGAAACATACTGACGCACGCACGCACGGACACGGGACAAAATATACAGTTTCTTTTTCTGTTAATTTGTATTGCTTATTGGGAATGTCAAGTGAAATACAAGTAATGTCGTCAGGTGTATAAGCGTAAAACAAACAAGAAAGAGTATCCACATATTTGTGCTTTCAGCAAGGATCTTCGGATTTTCGGATTTTCAAAATCGATATTAAGATATGGCGATTGTCTCACTGCAGTGTAATGATATGAATGGGTCACTGAAAGACAATGATGACAGCAGGTTTTCGTAAAATGGTGAGCATGCCCTGCTCTACTGGTAACACCCGCCACTCCCACAAATTTACTGAAGAAAGCGTGCAATGTTCCTACCACGACATTGGCCTGACCATGAACATTTCTGGACCAGTGATCATTATCATGAGCAATATCCACGTCGTCCGGGTTGCCAGTCGTGACCATCCGATTCATTAAAATGAGTCCCATTAAGTTAGGAGGAGTGAAACGTCCCTGTAGATGCATTGAATAGCATCGCGCATAACTTTGACAACGTTGTTATATTTGCTAACATCCTTTGAATGTCTACCATTAAATGTGTGGAATGACTTGAAGAAGCCTTTGATGGTGCAAACAGAACTTGAAATACTTAGTCCTATGAACGTTATAAAATGTAAGAGGGGATGTTGTTGAATATTGGACACATAAAGTCGGATTTTCAGACGCACTAGTTTTATCACCAATACAAATCTGTTGCTATAGTGTACAGATGAGTGAACATTCACAACTGTATTAACACGTGTTTCGTCATGACGCTAATCTCTTCCGTCATCCTTCTCGGTTTACATGCAAAGGTTTTCAAAGTTCAAGGGGAGGTGAAGAGGACCTTTCCAAATTTGACGCATCAGTGGCAAAAATGACGTGCGATGCAGTTCCCTATTAACACTGGCTTTTCTTTTGCATGTGATTACGACGGAGCAACCAGTGGGACAGAACCTTTTCGCTAACACCTGGTATCATCACTATGTGATAGTAATTAAATATACATGAGAATGATAATCGCTTTTACTTGATTTGTTAGATGTGTGCAGAAGATAATAGGCATGACAATTTGGCAAATATAATATGAATTGTATGTCCGAGGCAATGTTTTGTAATATGTACCTGCTTCTGTGATATACGATTTGTGCATTAAAACGACTAAAGTTTACTGTTAGTTTCAGGCAATCGACACGAGAGCGACTGAGGATTATGTGGCCTTGGCATAGTAGTTGGTGTGTGTTTTACTTAACTGTGTGTGTTCTGATATAAACTTCTTCATGTCTGTTGTTCTGATATCGAACGTATGCAATATTGTAATGGGTTACTCGCAGCCATTGTTATATGCATCGATGCGTCTGCTGTCGATAGATCGATACTTTTCACACTCCTTGTGTGAAGAGGCTTTATTTAAAAGAATTATCAGTCGGAAAAAGCATATTTTTTAAGCAATCAGAATCAAGCATTCTTTAGTGTCAAAGACTACAATGCCCAAATACTACAACTCGGCGATAAAACTATCTAAGCTTAAGTACTATTCACAGAAGATAGTTTGTCTCTCTTGATCTGTTCAGACTGTCCCAAGTATACTAGCTGTAACAAAAATGTTACAAAAGTTGTAGATCGTCGATAAAGATTAAACGTATTTTCTAAACACGCGTCTATGTTGGCAATACCTTATTAATCAGCCAACTTGTGTCACCAAGAGACAAAACATTATCTTTGTTTGATGTTATCACTATCTCCCTTGACTACATGTCCCTTAATTCATCAAAGTAGGAACAAACCCTAATCGACCTAGCACCGAATCCATACAAGTAAAGGAATACTGCACCATTCACACGTCCCCACATCATCCATAAACAAAACCTAGCCCATTATCACTTATTCTGAAACCAGCTCCGTTGTCTGCCCAAAGAACCGGAAGTTCGGTAGTTCGATCCCCGTTCACGCCTCACCATGAAGGAGATAAAACAAAGCCTTGTCGGCTCCGAGTCAGTTTACAGTGTCTGAGAGAGGTATTCATGTTAAATACTTGCCACGTTGTAGGTTCGAAGAATCGTATGAACTTACTTCAGGTATGACAGGTACTGGAGACAGATGTATAAAGACTTGCCAGAAGAAACGGGTTATTGCAATGTTTATAGAGACATCCTTCAGTGGAAGTAGACACTATTATAAAGTATATAATTACCTGTGGAATTTGGGGTACAGGTTATATTAAATATTGTACCAAAACCCAACGGTTACATGGACTTCATTGAGCACTGTTGATCCAGGCAATAAGGAACAACCTTATCAGAAACCTCCGGAAACAAGAGATGGCATCCAAGGAGGTTTCTAACTGTGACTAACACTTGCCTGACTCACGTCATGTCCATTGTGAGATCATGACGCTAGACGGCAAGATTGTAAATTCATATTGGTTATATTCTGCGAAAAACCTGTTTTGAAAACAAACTAACCCAATATACCAAGTTTCTTAGGATTAATTCCACAATTCAAGGACTCTTGTTTGCATTGTCAAATAGACGCAAATATAGGATGTCAGGACGTGACATTGCTGGCCAACTGAGAGACAATGCGGGATTTTTAATATGAATATGACTCAGACAGAGTATATTTACTTCGAAGACATGTCTTTGTGTTATACCGTTAATGCCGAGCGCAAGACAAGGTTAACAATGTTAAAGCAAGATGAGTAACATGTTAAAGCATTGTTTGTAATGACACGACCGGCCATCAAACCACCGAACTTCCGCTCTCCCGACAGATACTCTCGCTACGCACCACCCCACACGCCACACACAAGACCAAAACTTACACAAACACAACGATCACCTGTACTGTTTACCAATACAACCAGTATATAAGCCAACAAGGCCTGTACATTCCAAGGTTGCCCCCGGTCTCTGTAGGTCACGGCGCATCTTACACTTCACGTTGCAGATCTTGCTCCATTAATGTGTTTTATCTATCCTTATAAATCACTGACAAAGACTAAAACACACTTTATACCAGAGTTCACCACCCTTTGTATATAGCTTGCACACCAAATATAAACCAATTTTAGTCTAATTAACATCGTACAAACGATTGACATTTCATACCCACTAGACCAGGAGGCGGTCAATAAAGAGTAATACATATTAAGTTTGCTCACATAAGATAATGTTATTCAGTAGCTTGGTAACTGTTATGTCAATACTCAACTGCAGTCAGGTGTTGCCAGTTATTCCCAAACACGGAAGTAGGTCACCTTCAGAAACATAGCAACCAAGTGACGTAGCCTCGTCATTATACATAATCAATATGTAACCGAAGTATGAAAGGATGAAATTGCATCGTGAATACTACTGCTTTGATGCAACTCGGCAATTTGTGAATAGGTCATATACTTTTTGTCGACTACAGATTCAAATGAAGGAGCCTTGGTGCTCATAGCGTATCCCACCTGTGTGACTGATGGAGATTCTTACACAATGAACCTCCACGGATACTCTTTGAAACATTATCGACGGGCCTATTTATAACTTTGCAAATGGCGTGTAAAAGTCTGAAACCACCCAGGCCTTACATCACAGGGAGAACATCAGCGCTTAAAGTGGAGGAGATTGTTAACATTCTTAGGAGTCCAGATGAGAGCAAGACCATCCAGACTGCCCCCGCCACACCTCAGGGAGGACAGGTGTACCTCTATAAGATATCATCGGGTATGAGAGAAGGTGAGTCAGTTGTGTTCACGCTTAATGCTAACATGAGGCATGGATCGATATATAGAAAAAGGTTAATAGTCCATGGAAAACTTATATTATGTATAATATAATTTGAATTCAAAAGGTTTGTTAAACACACACGATGAATGTCCTCAAAAACCACATGTATATACATGTAGGTTTCCAGTATTTCTCTGCATGACGTGATAATAGATTTTATGTTCGCTAATATTGTTAACGAGTAACTGCCATGCATAATAAACCTCCAGTGACATCTTCATATTGTTCTCCAAATGGGTTAAATTTCATTAACAAGGATGCTATAATGTCATAGAGATATTTTAATTGAAGTTGCGTTTATATTGTAGCATATGCATGTTACTTGCTAGGAGAAGTTACTTTGCAATTTAACAAAACAATTTAATGAAATGTAAAATCAAATGACAAATTAAACTTCCGGGGATCGAATACGTAATCTTCGTATCTGCAGCCCAGTGAGTGTATCACTAGGCGACAGAGGCGGTTAAATGTTTTCAAGAATGTCTTTTTCAAGTACCCTTACGCTAGCAACACATATTGTAGGCCCATATTGGCGCCCCTCAGTTTAATCCCTTCGATTCCGGTCTTAACTCTCATAAAGACCCTCAGACGTGTTTTATCCTACACATAAATCACTGCCAATTCAGCTCAATCGTCCATATCGTTATTTCAACTACTAATATATTCTGTTTCTGTTCTTCTCTCTCTTTTTATCCCCTTTACAATAACCGTGTACTTTAACGAACATTTATCCAATGTTTACATGTAGGAAGTCAATTGTTCAACTGATCAATATAAGCTAAACAAGAATTTGTATTGTTTTAAGGTATGTGGTTTAAGGTATGTGCACCCATATGCCCGATGACATGATATTTATCATTACAACCTCTAATACAACATATATGCATGACCTTACAGTTCTATGAGTGTGGTGTGTCCGTTGGCCCATGACAAACAAAGTCGACTTTGCATTTAGGTTTCATTAATTAATACCTACACCACACGTGACACACTAACATTCAAAGCTTCTTGACGGACGGTTCATCGTCAGGATAACAACAACGCTTGCAATGTCATGAGACTCATGATGTTACATTATATTTACAGACGTGTGGAAGGACGACAAATATCACTTCAGAAGTGATGGAACTCGGAAGCAGCCTAGCTCAAGTCCAGTCATAGTGAAGCAGTACCACAAGGCTTACACCGAGGACAAGGCAACAACAAGGGCCTTTGTCAGAGAAGCATCGTATCTGTACAACCAGCCTCTGAAACACGTCCTAGTGCAATATATCGGGGACCACACACAAGCACAGCCTGCTCCTCAACGTAAGAAGCGTGGTCAACAGACAGTTAATTCCCCAGGTGACAGTAAATGTAGAAAAGTAGAATCAACTGGTGGAGCTGTACAGTCGGGTGTCACGGAGAACACTAACTCCAACCTGGACCCTGAAGATCATTCATCACCGACAGAATTGGAAGACAACGGTAAATCAAACACTATTCTAGGTGTAACATTGAATGAAGCAAAGGTGTCAGAGACTGAAACAAAGAATGTTCATGACACAAATCAGAAACGCAGCAGGACAGGAGATCATAGAGGTGATGATGACATTGAATATGTGGGTACAACGTCAGGCTCCCCTGTCAAGAAACCCCGTTTGCAGCCTCAAGTTGAAAATGACAACGCAGTTGTAACCTGTGTCACTAACACACCCTACGCTTATCTGTACACATTTCTAGAAGATGTAGAAAGGAATCGTGATGTGATAAGGGTCGTGCAACAGGTTTTATCTTTATCAAGGTTCTGGAACAAGGACTGTACCAACAAAGACAACGCATGCTTGTCACTCATTGAAGAGGTCGACAAGAACTGGAATCTAGATGCAATAAAAGCAAGGAACTGGGTTAAATGTTCTGTAAATACTGACGTTCTGAGCTTGAACCAAGACCGGTCAGTTTACATAAACCTCATCGCAGCAGTACTTGTTGGAGCATGCCATACCAGGACTGAAGTACAGGACTTTTTGAAAACACTGAAGGATCCTCCTTCACACCCGCAGCATGTACAAGAGGACGTCCCCCTGTCACGTGACTGTACATACACAGTTGGCTGCTACACCATCAGAGGAGATGTTCTGTCTCGCCTGGAAACCAACGACTGGCTGACAGATGAAGTAAGTAGTCCATCTGCAATATTTACACAATCACACAAACTACATGCGTAGTTAATTATCCAAGAAAATCATTTCATAGAGCATAGGAGGCTTTCGATTTCATCAAATGATGTCAGTATTAGGTATTAACTGAGGGCGTGAGGGTGGTGAGTGGTTCAGTCACGTAATACTCATTGATAGTGCCTTGATGTAGGCAAGGTAGAGCGTGAGTTTGGTTAAACGCCTCTTTGAACAGTAGTGTCATGGTGAGTTGGACTAAATTATGAAGAAATTCCAAAGTGAAGCATACCTTAGACGTTTACCACTTTGTTGATTCCCATGGCGAGTCTGCAAAGCGAAATGCGGCGCCTTGGACCATGAGCCCCCGTCTTAAGATTAATACAGCAACGTTTGACAGTTTCTTCTTTTTACACCAGTATTAGTTAACCATCAATTAATATAATAGTGCTAATTATCAACTCATTGCCATGCATCTCGATTATGCAATGATAACACTACTCACCTGCAATGGGCATTGTGCACAAAATCTAGTACATCATCAGTTCAATTGTCAGTCATTGCTAACAGCCGAGATATTCTCCTCATGATGGATATGTGATGTGCAGCGGATCCTGCTTTGATTTGAAATTACAAGCGTTCCCTTTGAACCGAAAGCATTGGGGGATTAAACAGTATAATAAATATTCTAATAAATGAACTCTTACCTGTCCAGATCATGGACACATACCTGCATCTCCTGGAGAGAGAGTGGTGTTCCCGTGTCAGCTTCCACTGCCTGGTGCTGCCTACAGAGACAATCCTTCTGTGGGAGGCAGGACAGTACACAGACAGGATAAGGGGGAAAGATGTGAGTGACGTGAGATTTATATATTTCCTATGATTCTGTCATTCCGAGTGTACCTTTGCATGTCCACCCTACCAAGAACATGGGCAAGACTCGAAAGATACTTTGTAGTAATTGTATATTTCTTGTGATAACATATGATTGGTCTATGCCATGATTGCGTATTCAGTGTGATAGTAATTGCCACTTGCAATTGTGCACATGATTGATTTATGTACTGCAATGTGTTTCGATTGAGTCAAAGCTAGTAACCCCATTGATCATAATGCTATTCGTTTTCAATAATGCAGTTACAAAAGCAGATATTGCACATGAACATATTCATCTTGCTACATATCATTGTACGAAGTGAAAATCTGGTTGTCAGAGAGAGTTCTTTAGAAGTTCTCAGTACCAAGTTCATGATACCAATTCACTTATATCTCTGTTACTACACCATATCCATCTTATGTGAAGCACATATTTTTGGATATATTGATCATACACCGAAAAGGCATTTGTTGTGAACTTTCAGGAAAATTTGACAAACTATACGTGGGTCTTAATGCCAGTGAACATGCCGCGTAATCAACATTGGGTGCTACTGGTGGCTAATGTCAAGGATGGTACAGTGGGCGTGGTCAATTCTAAACCCGCCTTAGATGTGGAGGACACAGTTGTACAACACTGGAGGTAGGTGGACAGAAGTAGATAAAAAAAGCCAGGGCGTGTGGCTGCACATAATAGATAAACATGATTATATTTCAATATCAAGAATGTATTTCTATTTGGTCATTATGCAAATCCTTTAAAACCAAGCTATCCAATTTGAAATGTTGATTTGTCAAAAACAAACATGAATGTAAATAAGACCCATTTAAAAACTACACTCACATTTGTAGCTTTTACTTTTGGGTAGAAGATATAGAACAACTTGTTAACAGGGTTACTCAGTTCCCCAAATTTGGTGCACTGTGGGAATGATTTAAATGCCATAAATACAGTTATGTCACTCATTCATTTAAACCATAACATCTGTATTTGCTAACATTAAACCTAATGATGGACAAAGCAGGAGAGAACATCAGAAATGTCAGGACCGGATATTTTAGGCACTGCTGTATTAACCTTCTGCTCTACCTTTACTTTAACACCAGTCCACATGAGTTGAAGACTTTATCGCCATCGAGTAATATACATGTATTCCTCAGGCTCTTTGTAAACCACTTGAAATCTTCGTCTAAGGAAGGGAGCAAGTCATGGATGAAGAAACAGTACCCAGTGATAGAACAGTCTGATGGACACAGCTGTGGGATATTCGTTCTGATGGTAGGTTGGTTTGTAGCTATGTTTTTGATATGAAAGGCAACATGTGTCTCAATAACCACGTATGAAAGATACCTTTTCATTTCTAACTTTCATATTCTCAGGCAGCTGATGCAATTTTGGCGGAGAAGTCTCCAGGCATCATGAGGAACTGTCACGTTGAGAAATACAGGCTGTATGTACTTCAGAGGATACTACAGTATGCCAAGGACAAGGGAGATGTACAGGGTGGAGGAAATCACATGATGGCAGTTGATGGACAGGGTAATGTCCCAAACGAAATTCAAACTGTAACACTGGAGACAAGAGATGTACTGGAAAATAGCTGTACAATGACAACAGAACAAGGAGGTCCAACTATTCATGAAGAGGATGGACATGAAACACATGAAGGAACCGTCTGTGCTATCGCCAGTGAAGAAAGTATGCATTCTGGAGATCATTACTATGTTACGTAATTGTAAGGCGTTACGCAAGGTATTATATTTTAGATCTACATGTGCAATGTTGTACACTACTTTCTTACAAACGTTATTTGTTTTCACAGATACAGAGGACTATCCATGTTTGGATCAACACCTGTTGCATAAGCAGAAGATGGCGTGTTTGTTAGTGGTTGCTTTGGCGGAGAATAACCTGGAGGAGAGGATGCTATGGGCAGGGTCTGACACAGGGACTCGCGTGGAAAGAGAAACTTAAAAAAAATATATTATTTGGGCACTCAAGGTTTTTGACATCAATGAAGAAGAATACACTGAAAATATGATGAAACATATTTTATCCCAATTGGCGGGATGCTGTCTCCATCACGAAGGAGGCTCATATAGAATAAGAAATCATGAAGTAGCAATAAAGCTAAGAGAAAAACTGCTCAGTGATGTGAGACAGTTGGTTGAAAGGATGGATCTCGAGTTCATATTTCATTATGTGACATCTAGCGGTGATCCAACCGAAGAGGAACAACTAGATGTGCCTTTTAAAATCGAATTGAAACATGATGATCTGCATATTGTAGCGAAGCGTTTTGTTGCAGCTGTACATGGCAGAAAGTTTGCCTTTGTGTGCATGCATTCCCTATTCCAGGTAGAGGCATTTGTTAATATGGTTTGGGAGAATCTCTTGCAAAATCTGAACAAGGACAGATCTGAACTGTTGAAAGTATTGTCAAAAAATGACATTATATATGGATATTCCTTTCTGTTTTGGGCGAGCATCACAGACAACTCGAATTTGCTGAAGAAAGCATTGAACAGTGTTCAGTTTAAGGTAAAGAACACAGAGAAAGCTTTGTTTGGAAGTTGCTTTGGGAGTAGTTTGGCCAACTTCGAGTACATTTGTTCCAAAAATAACTTGAAGTTGGATACGTTGTCTATGCCGGTACCCAAACTCCCAAGACCTCTTATTATCAAACTGCAGTTGGCAGTTGTAGATGATCTGAGAGTAAAGTTTGGTAAATGTTCACTTTTGGACATTGCCTGTATGGGTGGGTTGTCTACAGTGGCTTCCAGACTGTTACATTTGATGAAGACGAGCAAGAACAAGAACAGTTCAAGAAAGAATACATATGTACATTATGCAGCCATGTGTCAAAAGGGCAAAGATGTCATGGATATAGTTATAAAGAAGGGACAACGTAGCATCAATATCATAGGTCCTGAAGGATCAACACCTTTACATTACTCGTGTGCAGTTGGAAATGTTAACATTGTAAGCTACCTGTTACGGGAAGCAGTGGACATTGGTAAGCCAAACAAGAAGGGTGAAACTGGACTTCATTTGGCATGTATATATGGGAATGCAGAAGTTGTTAAAATGTTATTACAGAACAAGGGAATAAGTCATGTGACAGATAATTATGGCGGCACACCTCTACATCATGCAGCCTGCCAGGGACATAGGGAGGTTGTGGAGGTGTTATTGGAGAACAAGGCAAATGTGAATCAGAAACGTAATGATGGCAGAACACCTCTACATCTTGCAGCCTACCAGAAACACAGGGAGGTTGTGGAGGTGTTATTACAAAACAATGCAAATGTGAATGAGAAACGTAATGATGGCAACACACCTCTACATAATGCAGCCTACCAGGGACATAGGGAGGTTGTGGAGGTGTTATTACAGAACAAGGCAAATGTGGATGAGAAACGTGATGATGACAGCACACCTCTACATCTTGCAGCCTATCAGGGACATAGGGAGGTTGTGGGGGTGTTATTGAAGAACAAGGCAAATGTGGATGAGAAAGATAAGGTAGGCGGCACACCTCTACATTATGCGGCCTCCGAGGGACATCGGGAGATTGTGGAGGCGTTATTACAGAACAAGGCAAATGTGAATGAGAAACGTAATGATGGCAACACACCTCTACATGATGCAGCCTTTGAGGGACATAGGGAGGTTGTGGAGGTGTTATTACAGAACAAGGCAAATGTGAATGAGAAACGTAATGATGGCAGCACACCTCTATATCTTGCAGCCTGGCAGGGACATAGGGAGGTTGTGGAGGTGTTATTACAGAACATGGCAAATGTGGATGAGAAAGATAAGGAAGGCCGCACACCTCTACATCGTGCAGCCTACCAGGGACATAGGGAGGTTGTGGAGGTGTTATTACAGAACAAGGCAAATATGGATGAGAAAGATAAGGAAGGCCGCACACCTCTACATCGTGCAGCCTACCAGGGACATAGGGAGGTTGTGGAGTTGTTATTACAGAACAATGCAAATGTGAATGAGAAAGATAAGGAAGGCCGCACACCTCTACATCATGCAGCCTTTGAGGGACATAGGGAGGTTGTTGGGGTGTTATTACAGAACAAGGCAAATGTGGAGGAGAAACGTGATGATGGCAGCACACCTCTATATCTTGCAGCCTGGCAGGGACATAGGGAGGTTGTGGAGGTGTTATTACAGAACAAGGCAAATGTGCATGAGAAAGATAAGGAAGCCCGCACACCTCTACATAGTGCAGCCGACCAGGGACATAGGGAGGTTGTGGAGTTGTTATTACAGAACAATGCAAATGTGCATGAGAAAGATAAGAAAGGCCGAACACCTCTACATCATGCAGCCTTTGAGGGACATAGGGAGGTTGTGGAGGTGTTATTACAGAACAAGGCAAATGTGGAGGAGAAACGTGATGATGGCAGCACACCTCTACATCTTGCAGCCTATCAGGGACATAGGGAGGTTGTGGGGGTGTTATTGAAGAACAAGGCAAATGTGAATGAGAAAGATAAGGAAGGCCGCACACCTCTACATGATGCAGCCTACCAGGGACATCGGGAGGTTGTGGAGGTGTTATTACAGAACAAGGCAAATGTGAATGAGAAAGATAAGGAAGGCCGCACACCTCTACATGATGCAGCCTACCAGGGACATCGGGAGGTTGTGGAGGTATTATTACAGAACAAGGCAAATATGGATGAGAAAGATAAGGGAGGCGGCAAACCTCTACATAGTGCAGCCTTTGAGGGGCATAGGGATGTTGTGGAGGTGTTATTACAGAACAAGGCAAATGTGAATGAGAAACGTAATGATGGCAACACACCTCTACATCTTGCAGCCTACCAGGGACATAGGGAGGTTGTGGAGGTGTTATTACAGAACAAGGCAAATGTGAATGAGAAACGTAATGATGGCCACACACCTATACATCTTGCAGCCTACCAGGGACATAGGGAGGTTGTGGAGGTGTT